ATGTCTTCAATCAAAAACCCCCCCCCCCCCCCCCCAAAAAAATAAAAATTAGGGATATTAAATGAGGTTCGCGCTCGCTCATTAAAATTGTGATTGTCTTGTCCTATGAGTTTGTGGCTCATCTCCCTCCCTCTCCCTCTCTCTCACACACACATATTACATAAAACACACATTTTTCTTCATTTAGCGAGTTTGCTTATATATATGAGCCAACGAAGTTGCGTGAGTCAGCGAATGACTTGTATGATCAAATTTTCCCTGGTTCACCTCACTTAACACCAAGGTTTTTAAAATGCGTAATGCATGATAATACATTTTCGATCAAGCATCAAGCATTACAAGCATATGCGTCCGTATGCAAATCATGTGCATACTTATGCATTTTTTCAATTTTATTGTTATTTTAAATATTCTAAACTAATAAATAAATAAAATGAATGTTAATCACTTAATGCATTTATTGAATTTTTATACATATTCTTCAAATTTAAAAATATATATTGTTCAAAATAATAAATACTACAATTACTTGAACATTATACACACTCTTCAAAATTTCAACAAATACATATTGATCAAAATCATGAATAATGGAATTAAATGATAATCCATTTGTATAATTAAATTAGACACTGAACACTAGCTTAAACAAAAAATCTAAATCTTTTATAGCTTTTTATCGAATTTTAATTAATTCTCATAATCTTCATCCAAGTCATCTTCCGTGTCATCCGAGTAAAAATTATCTTCACCGAACTCCATTATTTCAACTTGAGAATTTATATTATTTCTTGTAGATAATAAGATATCAATGTCGACAATATCCTCATCAATAAAACCATCAACAATTTAAAAAAAGAAAGAAATGCATTACTAGCATTAATTGCTAGTATAAGTTTCTAATTTATCATTTCTATTTTTGTTCAAAAATCAGAGGAGAAAAAGGGCCTCTAAAGATTTGTTTAGGTAAACTGGACAAAAAATGAAAAATGTAGCCCCTGTTCAATGCTGATTTTTCAAGATGAAAAATTAATTTTTTGACAGTTACTTAATATAGTCAGCCATATTTTTTGATCTCTTCATTCAAATGTGGGACTTACCTTTCATGTTAACGGTCAGAAAATTGAGTTTCAAAATTAGCACCAAATAAGCTCATATATTCAAGTTTTTGTAACTCAATGAAGATCTCAACAGTGAACTAGATGAATATCGAAAAAGAAGGAGACTCGAGCTCGATGTAGATAATTTAGAACTTAATGAAAATTTTATTTTGATTTTTGATTTTTCTAAACGTCAAAATCGTATAGATTGCCATATATAATTTGTGGGTTTGGACGTTTTAGACTAATTTGATGTTTGTTGGACTGAATTTACTTTGTTTAAGTTATAAAAATGGATGAGCTTTGTTAGGTTAATTCGAACATATTTTTTAACGCAAATTTATGCACATTTTGGTATTTAAGTGCACATATACAATCAACAAAATGAATTAATTGTATTATTACACACATATCCCATTTTAGAACACCGCTTAACAACGTGGTTTGGTTCAGTCCATTTTCGAAGGGAACCGAATCAAACCAAGTACCAATAAGAATCTTAATAATAGAATGATCGGTTCCATATCCAACTGTAGAGTCGAACCGGAACCAAAATGATCGATTCCATATCCAACTATAGAGTCGAACCGAAACCAAATCAATTAGTTCTGATTCAGTCCGATTTAGTTTTTTATATGAAAAATTATAAAAATAAAGTATGAAACTACTTCTCACGTTAAAAATAGAGTATAAAATCACTTGTCGTTCTTGTAATCTAATAATATGAAAAATCGATTTAGCAAGGCTACAAATAAAAATCCACTCTAAAGCTCAAAATCAACTTACAAAGGCCATAAAAAGGATAAACTATTAAACACGACATAAGCGGTAAAACTTCGATTGAAAATCAATTATTAAGAAAATTCATATAACAATAATCTGATTATCTTTAGATAATTCTTAAGGATTTTGATTCTTGATGATCGATCAATTTGAAACAATAAAAAATTTGAACTCTCATGAAATATTGAACTAAAAATATAACTTTTCTTATTAGGTTGCATTAAAGTTATGAATTTATAAAGTATTTATAAAATTATTTAGATTTGAATTTTGATTACCCATCAGAGAGTGTATATAAAATGAAATTTTAACGTGACATAACTATGGGGGCTATTGTTCAAAGATCTAGTATATCTTGATATAAGCAAAAAGAGAAAATTTGGGAGGACGGAATTCACTAATGATTCTTAAAGCAAAATTGAGAATCGGACCCATTTAGTGGAGGAGTTGGAACTGAACCGATTGATTCTATTTGATTTCGGTTCGGTTCCATCGATTTTGAGAAAAAGTATCCAATTCTACTTAACACCCTAACCAAATGGATAAATTTGACCTAAACAGAATAACTATTTATTGCAGCGCCTGTGGGCCCAGAATTATCTCCCAAGGTCATATTTCCACTATGTGTCAATTTCTCCATTTGCAATTTGAATAATGCTACTTAAATAGGGCTGATGATGGGATTTATAAATAGACGCCTCATCCTTTGATTTGAACAATTCAAATCAAGGCCCCTATAGTAGCACTACTTTGCACTTTTAAGCCCAAGTCTATATAACATGTCAATTTTTAATTGACCGTCACAATACATTGCATCACAAACAAGTGACCATATTCCCCTGAAATGCATTCCCGTAATTTTTTTGATAGGTAAATATGAAATTCAATTTATCAAAATTCATATACAAGTACACCGGCAAGGTCGACCCTAAGCCAAAGCCAACTAGGCAATGTCTCAGGGTCTCACACCTAATAAGGGCCTCCAAATGAAAACTATGGTAAAAGCCCAATTAAATTATTATAATATCTAAAAGATGGATTAATTAAAAATTTATTTAACAATAATTTTTTTGGTCGATTCTAATTTAGTTCAATTTTATAAAAAATAACTTTTCCCTTGAGTTTAATATACATGATTAATTACAAGCTAGCTATCAGATGAGTCAAATATTATTATAATAATATGATTTAATTTGGAAAGCAATATTATACATTCAGTAGTTTGCTTCAATGAGTCATACTAAAATAACCTTTTTCACGTGTCCATAATTTGTCATTTATTATGAGTTTCGGAATGAGTTCAACATTGATAGGATAATTCCCAATCCCTCAATAACTCTTTGTTACAAGATAACTTTTTCATGAGTCCATAATGTGCCACTTATCATGCCCTAGTTTATTGGGATAAATTTTTTCTACTTTATTTTTTGAATTGTGCCAAATCTTTGTTTAAAATATAATATATTATTTACTTAAATATTTAAATATTTTTACGATTGTAAAAAAAAAAAAAAAAATTTAGATTTAAGAGTTTCATAATAACGAGTAGCCTTGGGCCTTAATATTCTCCGAGCGAGCTTGTATACCCGAAATACCCGAACAAATCAAAATCAAGTGACTCGTACAACCGCACTAGGCATGCTTGGGCAAGAAAAAGAGAAATGTACAAACGATATGATTTATAGACCCATCACAAACGATTCAAATTGAATCAAAACATAACTTTATATACGTGTATTTTGATTTGTCTAACAATATTATACACGTGTGGTATTAGATTCTCAAAATTTCTTCTATTTCTTGCAATCCAAGTACGATGGATGACGGTCGCAAATGCAAATTTTTTTTTTTTTTTAAATCTTTGTCGAGAAGTCCCTTTAACTACTTATTTTATCCACTTCAATCCACTAGCAATATTAACCATCGGTTCTATTGTCCAACCAAACCTTAAGGGTGTATTTGATTACATTTATTTTCCATAGAAAATATTAGTTTTCCATCCAAATTTTTACTTGGAGTGTTTGATTGCTATTTTTTCCATGGAAAACATTTTTCAACTTTTGAAAATATGCCTAATTTTTCTTATTTTTAAGGAAAATATTTTTCTTGAGTAGAGGTGATTTTTATTTTCCATAAAAAATAAAAAATATTTTCTTTTCTAAGTAATATTTTCCATGTTAATCAAGCACACCCTAATATTCCAAACATGAGGGTGGGAGAAAATGCATTCCCGTCATTTCTACTTACGTAACAGAGATAGAATCCGATTGTGGGAGGGAGGGAGAGAGAGGAGAGAGGCATTTGTTAATCTCCTTAAACAGTAAAGCAGTGGGAAGTTGGTAATATACAAGGAATGAGTGACAGCGGGGGAGCACCACCGGCAGACGACGGTGGAGTGGTAGCGTCCGACCAGGAAATAGCGGAGGCGCTGGGTTCTCTCCTCCGCGATTGCACAAACAACAACTCTTTCGCCTCCCTGAACGATGTCGTTCGACAGCTCGAGTCGAAGTTAGGTTTCAATTTAAGCCACAAAATAGATTTCATTCGTAACCAGATCCACAGTTTCATCCTCTTCCAATCCCAACCCCCCAATTTCCTCTCCCACCAGAATCAGCAAAAGGACCATTTTGCCCTTCAACACACCCCTAATTTCCACCCCGGTCCTTCCGCTCAACCAAATTTCGCGGTCCATCGCCCGGAGAATTACGGGTACCGCCCGGCTCCCCATCAGCTTCCCCCGCCTCAGCAGCAGCATCAACCATCACCACCACCACCACCTCCGCCACCGCATGCCGCAGTGAAGACGAGTAATGTGGCCGCTGTTAGTGTCGCTGCCAGTGGAAACCCCAAAGAGAGGTAAGTCCGTAAATTTTATTATTTCGTGAATAAAATATTTTTATAAGAGATCGTTTGGTAGGTGAGAAAGTTAGGGGTTCCTTTGCGTGTTTGGCAATGTATCTTCCTTCTCATGCCAAGAAAGGGGGCTTGCATGTTTGTTATTTTTTGTAACGATGCACTTGCAAGGCGATTACTTTAATGACGAATGACATAAAAATTAAAAATATGAGGATTTTTAGGTAAACTAATGGCATAAGGTTAATTTAATTAACATGTAAGATCATTGTCACAAAGTAGGAGACTTTGTTAACTTTGATGGAAAATTACAACCGAGCTTAAAGAATTAGCTTTTTTTATTTCCTGTGATTGGGTAAATGAATGGATTTTAAACTAATGTACCATATGGTTTTAGATATCATAAATTTACAAAATGGAAAATGGGTAAAGTTCAGTTAATTTTTGGGGAGAGAGGAGTGGAGTAAAAGAAAAATGGAACGGGTTGTAGTTTTCAAGCTTCAGGTGTAATGGATTAAGTTTGAACAGAATAAAAATGTCCAGAATGTACTTATTAGCTATAGAAGAACAAACTCTGCCAGGACAATTGGCAACATGCCTTGAGTGTTTATGTTCTTTCCAAGTCATTGGAGGTCCAAAGAATCACATCAAGCATATGTCCATGATCGAAAAAACTAATCTAAGCGTTCCAATGATCTCATTGGTGAGTTACTTCATAATCTTGTTTTGTTATGGGCAAAGATATATATGTCCGTGTGTGTGTGTGTGTGTGTGTGTTTTTTTTAATTTAAATGGCTCATCAATTGAAAGACACTGGATATTTGTTGGCAACAATTGAGTGCACGTTAATAAATTGTGATTTTGAAGTTGGATAGGTTTTTTGATGTTGAAATGGAAACTTCCCCAGGAAATGTGCTCTGTTAAGGTAAATTATTTTTCACCGCAAGTAAAACTGATTCTCAGATAATTTAATTAGCAAATGGCTTTTGTTATGCAAACTGACAAATCTTGATTATGGTACTTTGGCTCATATGAATGTATTAAACCAGGGATGAAGAAAGAAGAAAATGATAGATTGAACATGAATATAATGGACAGAGCTTTTGTGTCCATGTTATTTGATAGCTTGCATATGTGACTATCTATTGTAAATGAACCTTTTTCTTATGTAGAAGACTTATTTGCAGACTTCCCTGCCCTACATCCATTCAATGATGATTGTCTTGCGTTATTCGTTTAATTTATTGCATGATACAATGTTATTTTATTAATTCAAGAAGACATCCGATACAGCTCCAGTGAGGGGGAATATAGGTGTCCTTCTTGGTCTTCTCTTTAACGCTTCCATATGTTATTTTTTTGTGATATCATTTATATAGACTCAATGCAATTATTTTTGCAGTGCTCCAACTGGAAGAAAAAGAAGAGGTGGCCCAGGAGGACTAAACAAATTATGTGGTGTTTCTCCTGAACTACAAACCATCGTAGGGCAACCAGCTCTGCCAAGGACTGAGGTTCGGCCACATGTTTTCTTTTCTTCATTATTCTTCTCAGTTATGATGTGTAAATTCCAACTCAAAAAAGGTGCTATTTCAGATCGTGAAGCAGTTGTGGGCTTACATAAGGAAAAACAACCTTCAAGATCCAAATAACAAAAGAAAGATTATTTGCAACGAGGAGCTTCGATTGGTTTTCGAAACTGATTGTACTGACATGTTCAAGATGAATAAATTGCTAGCTAAACATATAATCCCTCTTGAGCCTACAAGTATGGAACTTATAAGAGGAATATTTTCATTTTCCATTATGATGGTGTTGATGCTCATGGTAGATTTTGAAATCTTGCAGAGCAGACTGCTCAAAATTTTAAGAAACCTAAGATTGATGTCGAATCTGGGAGTCAAAATGATGACCCCGTCCCAATTGTGATAATATCTGAAGCCCTTGCGAATTTCTTTGGAAGTGATGAACGGGAAATGTCACGTGCAGAGGTATTAAGGCAGATCTGGGAGTACATAAAGGTCCACCAGCTGGAGGTCTGTAACCAAGTAAATGGTTTTCATTTATCATTCCACTTTATCTGACATTTTGTTTTTCCATGATAATCACTCAACAAGGATTACAAGAGTGCTCACTTTTTATTAACTTCCAATCTTACTACCTAAATATTGAAACATGCTCTCCAAATTGATTTTCTCCAATTTCTTCACGCACGATAAATAGAACTTGTTGACCCCAAAAAATGTGCCAACAGAATCCCAACTTCATCCTCTTCGCGTAGATAAAATTTACACATTGAACACCCTGTTAGAAGGCAAAGGCCGCGGGTCAAGAAAAAAGGTTTGACGATCGTTTGCACTTCGGCAATCAAGTCAACAGCCGGACGAGAAAAATATGAGTACAAGAGAAGGAGAGGGAATTTCGCTGGGTGAGAATGAATGTACTCTCATTGTGAATGGACTTTCATATATATAGAAAAATGAGAATGGGCCAAGTGCGCTAATGGGCTGAGTTTCAAGCTCAAGGCAAGATTGCTTAATTTAATAGACCCAATCCAATTAAATAATCAACACCGAGTTGGCCAATGTGGGACTCCTTTTCGTCATGCGCATGCCACGTAATTTATAGGTGTAACAGAACTCGTGAATAGAGCTTGAACTACATTTTTTCTATGTAAAAGCTCTATTCAGTTAAAGAATGCAGGGTACTATGTAAATTTTTTAAAGCATATTCATGCTTTTTGAGAGGTTTGTTACGTATCAATCTGCTATTCCTACTTGCATGGTTAAGGGGATCATATTGCCGTCTCATTCACAATCTTTTCTCCTACAATTTTCCCGGTTTGGAAATGATTTATAAGAAAAATCAGTATATAAGCACTATGATTTAGTATAATTGAATGTATATTTGTTTATGTTTTGTGGTTTTTTATTCTCAGTTCCCATTTTCGTAGTCGTTCCAGCTCATTCTTTCAAATCAAATACAATTTTATGTTAAATGCATTCCCTTTATCCCTTACTACACTGCAGGAACATTATGACACTCTTTTCTCTGAGGCCTTTTCTTCTTGTGCTGATTATGTTTTAATCAAATGGAGAAAAAATGCAATTGGAGCTGGTTTTTAAGATGAATGGAACTAAGTATGTGGTGAGAAACATTTAGTGATTACTTTACTTAGAAGCCAGAGGTTGCTGATATGTTCAGCTGCAAGATAAATTTATGTATCACACTGTTTTCTCACCTAAAACAGATATGGTGATGTGATTCGACTTAAATGCACTTGAAAATTTTTGAGAAAAATTGGATTACATGGCCAAAGATGGAAATGCAGGCAAGGAAGATTGTGGGCTAAAACAGTTGGAAGTAGGTATCAGAACATTATTTAATGTTGAGAGACTTTTTTTATGAGTACTACTAATAATCACACTGATGTATCACCTTCTTCTATTACTTGAATCTTTGTTCTTCCTATAAGATGTTGTTTCTTTTGATTTTTTAATGAAGATATCTTATTGAAAACCTGTGTGCTCTCTCGTTCTGATATCAAATAACTGAAAATAACTTACAATTTTATGATTTGAAGTATTTTGTTCTGCTACTTTTAGGATCCTCTAAACTCAATGACCATTATATGTGATACCAAATTGCAAGAGCTTCTTGGATGTGAAAGCATTTCAGCATTGGGGATACCTGAGATGTTGGCACACCGTCATTTGTTCAAGAAATCATGACAGATCAATATTGACTGGTTAGTACAAGTTAAGAATATCTTAGATTTTTCTGTTAGTTACTTTGATTACATTGCTTTGAGCTCATCTGAAGAAGGTTACATTATTGTAATGTGTGCCCCTTTTCCAAATTTTACTGGTTTTCTCTCTTTTAACTTATTGATTATACTACTTTTATGTGGAGATGTCATTAGGCAAGAAGGTTGCCTTGGTTCCCACTGTTCTTTTTCTGATAGCTTCTACCAGCCCTGCATGCTGCGTGTTCTGTTTATTTAGACGGTCTTTTGAGGTGTGGAAAGTCATTTTATTGAATTATCTTCAATTTCCCCATGATGAGCAATAATAGTTCTCTGTCACAATCTTGAAACATGGCTGATGAACATTTCCCTTTAAAGGAATACATACTTTAACGCCTTATATGTCACCGACGGAAGCCAAATTTTGGATATGTTATATTATAAGATGTTCCCTACTTATGATTTTTTGACATTGATAACTATGCAAACGAGTTTATTTTATAATTTTATAATAAACTGCATGTTAGGAAAAATATAGTTCTTAAGGAAATTTTTTCAAAACTAAATGTTTACGTTTCCATTAAAGGAGTAGTTAATTAAATTATTATTTTAAATAATTTCTAAGTCTAACGCTAAGGTACAATGGTTTCAATAACGTTTCCGTCCATGCGGGTCGGGGCGTTACAGTATGTGTGTGTGTGTGTGTGTGTGTGTGTGTGTGTGTGTATTGTTTTGGATTTTTTTGGAAAGATATTATGACATAAGATATTTAGGTGGTGCAGGAATTTACTTGCAACCACATGTCAATCAATGGACAACTAATTGGCTTTGCTATGCTTTTGCAGATACATGGTGTTAATGCTAACCCATTGTGTTCTGACATCATCTCAAATACTTCCCAGATGACTTCTTTACATTAGGTGTTTTGGGTTTATGACTGGTGCTAGAAAGTTATGAGTAGGTAAGTTATGGATGTTTACTTGGCTAATAACAAGTTTTATGTTGTGGCCAACTATAGGTCTAGAGTGTTCTCTATCCCCCTTTCTCCTTCCATGCTGGGATCTTTTCTTTGTTGGAGTTTCCAACATTGCATAAATATGCCTGACAGTAGAAGCAGATGTAAAGATGATTATAAGCTCTTCTTCTGGTTATGTAAAATGATATAACAAATTTAGGTCAATATATCTGCAGATATGTCTGCAAATGTGATTTTTCAATTACCCCGAGTACTTCTTTCAGTGTACATGAATTTACTGAATTTGGTTTCCAGCTTTTCATATCGTTGAATTACAGTAATTTCTATTTTCAATTTGTATTGATTATGGGAAAAAAGAAACAGTATGTGCTTGTTTTTTCCTTTCCAATTGGTGTTCAACATTGTTCCATAGTGCTCTTTACGAGTTGTGGAGAAAGTATGCAAAAGACCTCCAATCCATCTCTATGCCTAAAGCAGTTAGTATCTGGCTGTATAGATGCTAAACTGTAAGATCTCAGCTCTAAGAAATTGTAAATCCTGATATTTGCTGCCAGGCACAGTTTAAGAGTTGATAAACTGTATAAAACCTGCACTGTAATACAAAGTAACAATATTAATTTGTGCCAGAGACTCGCAGAGCCCCCGATTCCTAAACAGTATTCAGCTTCTATAATAGTTTCATGGATCAACCAACTATACTTTTTTCTTCTCAATCGAGTCTTTTTAGATGTGAGCTAAATCTCTTCTAACTATCCCCCTCCCCGAAGTGATGGCCTCTCTCTCGTGATGTGGAGAATGTGAAGAGACGGTGGCTTGCACCGTGGTGCTATACGAGGTTGGCACGGTTTTGGAGGTGTAAGTCGTGGCACTAAAAGTCACTGATTAAGTGGCAGTCAATTGTCATGTTGTTATTGGAAGTTAACATAATGGTAATTCAGAGTGGAGGTAGTTATCAATTATCTTATCGAGTTGGGCAGTAAGTGTCCAAAAAACTAAGTGGCTCCCGAGGATCCTCTTTAAACTAGGCGGGGAATGGAATGAGAATTGGAGTAGATAAGAGAAGTTGTGATTCATTTACACCGCAGAATGTGAAGTGGGACAATACTTTTCAGCGTGCTGTTATCTCGAACGGAGACAAAGCTATTGAGAATGATGGAACTTGAGGAAGTTCGACTGTACAACAGTCTTGGGAAAGTTGATAATGATTGTTTTATACAAAATCGATTTCTTGGTAAAAGAAACTACTCCAGTGTCTTTACTATATCGAGGTAAAAATGCATTTATAAAGTTGCGTCGATACATTAAAATGTGTAGTTAAAAATGATTGTAGAGAAATTCACGTCAAACTGTGGTTTTTTATTTTCTTTTGTAGTGGTCTTTACCTCTAATTTCCTTGTTAAATTGCGAAGATAATGAGATGAAAAAATAAAGAATATGAATTTAGTTACAGTCTAAATCTCATCTTAAAGTGATTCTCTGTCTTATTCTTTCGCACTCGATGTATTCTAATTAATGCATTATATCTATAAATTATTACTCACCATCAATGTTATTTTTATTTTTTTTAAATTTGACGATCATAATCTGTAGATGTAATTTCACGGATGCATGTGTGGCATGTATCTATTCGTTGATATGAATATGCATGCCACGTACGTATCTATCAAATTACATGTACAGATTTTTTTAGACGTAGAATAAATCTTGAATACTGTTTAATAAATTCAATTGGCATCCAGAAAGTTGGTTGTACAATAAAATCGTCTAGAATAAATTTAAACCGCGCACCCCACAAATATGAAAATTTGTTTTTAATAATCTATTCTATTAATTTATTATTAAATCTCATGAAAAGGAACGTCCTCTAGTCCCTTTCTTTAGAACAATTCCAAGGGACCCACCCTCGCGAGCATCAGTGCTCTCCCTCCAATCATCCAAATGGAATGGTCCATGCCAATCTATTCTTTCCTTTTCTTTGTCCTATGAATTATAAATAAATAAAAAATTATTTGACCATTTTCATGGGGACGACTCATAATTATTTTATCGTTCTCGTCTTATGATTTTAATAATATTTTTATATAAAGCTTTAAATTACGACTTAATTCCATATTTTCTTATATATTGAGGTGCTTTGCATGATAAATAAATTCAAATGTAATCTTTCGTTTCAATTTCACATTGTAAATTTATTCATGTTTTAAAAACGACTAAAATATTTCAATAATGAATTGAATCCAATGAACATAATATATAGTCAATGTTTTTGGCAATATTCTAGATTAGGACATGATCAAATATTTGAAATATATGATGTTCTTTGACGTTTTCATTGGTCGAATTTTCTTTTTGTCCGATGCAAAGCTTGTTCAAAGCTGCCTATGACATATTGAAAAAGTAGCGTATTCACTAATAATTAAAAAACACGAAAATTACAAGATAAAGCAATTTTTTTAAAATTTTATATAAAAAAAATATAATTAATTCAGGAAAAGATAAGAAAAATCTAAGCACGTAAATCTCTCCGTTAATTATATTTTTAAAGCATAAAATTTTCTAATTTTCTAATAATAAATGCTAGTTTTAAATTGGTAATCCATCATTTGAATACATCCTTTAAGGGATGGGCCATAGCCCATAACATAAAAAACAGAACAGCAGTTCCTTCTCGACAACTTGTCAACCGCCCAACCACAAATATCCAAACTCCAAATTGGATGTTTCGGTCCGGACTCACATATATGGGCCCCATAGAAAATGACCCGTTTTCCGCATTGGACTGGCATCATGAAAATACACCAACTCCTGGCTGTATACCGCTGACCCATGTTATGGTCTTTGCCAGGCAGTACTTAGGAATGTAAACGAGTTGGGTCGAGTCGGCTCGCGAGCCTAAAGTTTTGGTTTGGGCTCGACCGGTTAAAATGGCCGAGCTTTTTTGTGAGCTCGAGCCGGGCCAAACAAAAGCTCGGCAAAAAAAAAAAAGCTCGGGCTTTTTCCAGGTCGAGCCGGGCAGGCTCGTTTTCTCCTCCTTCCTTTTTTTTTTTTTTTTCCTAAGCTGCTAGCCTCAAATTTTTTATTTTTAAAAAAAAGCTCGTGAGCTCACAGGCCGGTTCGGGCAAAGCCCGTGCCCCCAAAATGGGGCTCGGGTCTACCGAGCCGAGTTACGGGCAGCCCGAGCCGGCGAGCCCGATTGCCATCCCTAACTGTACTCCAGTTATATCATTCGGCTTAGTCGATTAGTCGTTGCCTCGGACTTCCTAGCTTAAGCTGATGTGTATTTGTTCATATTATATGCCAGAATTGATAGGGGAAATGTTATATGTACATAATTGTCTACATAATGGTGTTCATAATTACATGTGACACTGGATCCAACTTTTAACACACTTTCATATCAACAATCGAATAATTGTTACATCACATTATGAACAACATTATGTGCAATAATTATGTATATGTAGACTTTTCCAATTGATAGAGATTACAATTTTAATCTTAATTTAAGTTAAAATTAACAATTAATTTTAATGATGTATTCCATGTGATTTACAACTTTTCTATCACATATTTCATCAATTTTTATTAAAATTTACTATTCGACAATCTCTATTTTCAGGGTGACAATTTTGGGATTATGTTCATCGACTATTTTAGACTTCAATGCAAAATTTGGTAATTTTCTTTTATTAATGAACTTAGTCCCTATTTGACAACCATTGTAATGAAATTTTTTAGAAAAATAAAATTTGAAATAGTCATTTTTCAATAAACATGTGATTGAAAAGTATGAAAAGTTTTCATTTACGTGCAGAGGTTTTTATTTGAAAATGAATTGGACAAAAAAAAAAGAGTTTTGTTTTAATGGTTATTAATCGGGGGCTTAATAATTTGCTCTTTCTAAAAAGATTTTGGAATTGTTCATAATAATCCATTATATCCGACCCTATTTCTACTTTTTCATCTCATTCTCGCTAATATTTTTTTTATTTTGTTCTGATCAATCTAAATTTGTCTTAACTCTTATCTTATGATTATAATTATGAATTGAATTGCTAGATTTTTATGATTTAAAATCTTAACATCGACACTCGTGAAAAGGGTCAATAATTTAAAAATGGTATTGACATATGGCTGACCTTTTGAAAACTCCCAGGTAAACGGTATCGTAAGCAAGTAATATAATAGTGTATTGAGTTTCAAATCCACGAGGACTACGTATTTGATCGAGTTAAAGTTGTTAATATCCTTAATCCAATAGTAATAAAGAGTTGTAGTAAATTGAAGTCTAAATTATCAACTAATATGAAAGCAAAGTAAATGTCTAGCAAATTCGTAAGATATATCAGTGTTCTAAAAGGCGTAATGCGTGGCAATGCGTGGAGGCCAAGCTATGAGCTATGCGAGTTTAGGTGAGACTTAGGCATAAAAATGCATTTTCTTAGTTTAATATTATTTTAATTTTTAATAAATCAAAAAATTATTTAATAATCAAAAATAATACTTACTAGATTTATAGGAGCGTTATACAATTTTCTAAAGTTTCCAACAAAAAGATAAGTTTCAAATTTAAATACAAAATAGTAAATAAATAGTATAGGAACTTAAATTTCATCTAACTCTTTATCGGATTTCAATTGAATATTCTTTTCTTCGTCTAATTCGTCTTCCATGTCTTCCAATACAAGCGATTGTTTCAAATTAATGCAAAATGAACAAATTAGCCATTGATAAATTTTTTAAAACACACAATTTTAAAAAAATTAAATAAAAAAGGATGAAAATGCTCGCAAATGCACGCATAATTGCGCTTAGGCATGCCTAAACGGTCAACGATTGACGTTGATTGCCAAATAAGGTGTCAAGCTACTTGGTTTGGCGTTTTAGCCAAGCATACGCCTAGGCGCGCTTTGACGCCACCTTTTAAAACGCTGAGATGTATTGCTAAGACGTAAAATCTCCATCGTTAATCCATTTTTAGCACAACAAATTAAGATGATAGTTTGTAGTTATTCTTGTTGCTCAATGTTCCTAACTTAATTGAAAACCTCTCTTGATAGTTATCAAATTTATTCTCCTCACGTCACATTCCTACCTATCGATGAAAGATAAGAGCAAGATAAATGCATTTAACGATCTAAAACACCTATGAAAACCACGTAAAGCATAAATGTATATATCTATCCTCTATCGAACTTTACAATATTTATTATTTTTAGCTAAAAATCTATTATCCCTCTTGAT